GACGGAAGTTAGCGCTCCCACACCCCAGCAGCAAGATGTGGGAGCTGAAAGCTACCCTGGAAGTATGTCATTTTATACTTCACCATCTTGAGAAGCTTTCTTTTTTCTTCCTTTTTTTTTTTTTTTTCCTGGGAAATAGTTTTTCTGATTTAATATATCTGAGAAGCTACACATGCAATTTTGCAATGTAAGATCACACTCCTAGTGCCAGGCAGCTCTCAAGGGCAAAGCTTCAGTTCCAAGAAAATGTGTTTAAGGCTTTGTGGTGTTAACAGTCTCTCCTCTCCCCCTTTGGATAAATGGAAAATTTCTGTAGGCTCATAAGAAGCCAGGTGAAGGAAAACTTTTGAACCAGAAGACTAGGTGTTAAGTGTATGAATCCAGTTACTCTGCTGATTTAAATAAGTTTAGCATCAGTGGAACTACACCCAGTTAACATTAACGAAGGCTCTGGCCCATAGTACTGTGTCAATGAAGATAACTAGCATAAAAATGTGTTTAAATATAGAAAATTTGTTTTCAATTATACCTTTAAGGTCAAATTCTGTCTGGATCATAGCAAGCAGGACTGGGTAAGATGATGGTAGATAGATGGTACAGTGACAGGGGAGTGATAAAAACCCTTAAGGCAGAAAGGGAGGTTAATAGCTATGCCCCTTGCCTCAGGAATCCTGACCAGAGCAGGAAATCTTGTGCTGGACCATTATGGGCAGGGGAACTCACAGTGGGATATATATTACTTTTACTCTGAACTAGAGCATTCTGCATGGTGTATATTTTTACAACTACAATGTATGGACTAGACAGCTGGAAGTTTGGGCCTATAACTCAGCACAGGCTGACCCCAGGACATACAGGTTGGCTCTGTAGGTGGCCATACTCCTACTATTTCCATTACTTCTGAGAGAAATTCTGCTAACACAAGGAGAAAAGCTCCTTCCTTTTCTTACCCTCTGCCCCCAACATAGGTTTAGTCAACACACACACTTGCACACACACAGAAGCTAGTTGAGAGTTTAGCATCTGCCACTTAATTTTCTAATTTAGTTTACCATAACTATCACGTTAAATCCAAGCAGACCTTAGTGTTTTCATTTATTTGCTTTAGGAAACCTTGACACCAAAACTGGAGGGTTAAAACTGATCCCGCTTGGACATAAAGCATGTAGGCAGGCAACACTAACACTGCTAATTTTAGAAGCTCGCATTGCTCAATCTTGAAAAAATAACACTCAACAGAATATTCTTCCTAGCTTCACTCCTTTATCATAGTAGGACTTTGGCACTGAGACACCTTTTCCTGGTTCTTCAAGTTGCATCAAGCTAGAACAGCTTGACAGTCCACATCCTGATGGCGAGACTAAACTTTAACATCAAGGATTATGTTGCTGATTAGCACTTCCAATAATCAAGTAATTGGTAAATTAAATAATCCAGAGTTTGGCGCCTTGCCTGAAAAGGTCACGCTTGCATTGATTCCTTTTTAGAGAGTCCATGTTGCTATTACACAAATTCAATCTGTCTGTCCAGAACTCTAGCATAAAAATATTTGGCTAATTTCCTTCTTTTTATACAATTTGACGGGAAATAAAATCCAGGAAAAGTTGCACATTAGGGCAATACGTTCAGATTTTCCAATTAGGGTAGGTGGGGAGCAAGACAGAAAAAGACAATTCTCTGGACTTTTTCTTCTCCCAGGCTAGCATGGCCAGTGCAAGCAATACAAACCTCCAAGTACTCAAGTCAACACAATTATTAGTGCAGTTCCTACCCTCTTTGTATTTTATTAGAATTTCTATGAAGCTGGGAGTCTCCCGTGAGGGATCCTCCCTGCAGACTGCTAAAGGAGGGGTTTTACCTCCACCTTTTCCTAGGCCTGGGCAGGAGGAACTCATGGGCACGGCGGAGGTCAGGGCTGCGGTGCAATAAGCTGCACCGATGCTCTGCTCCCCTGGCTCATCCCCTCTGTACAGACACGGGCAGGCTCTGTACAGACATGGGCAGGCTCTGAGCCCTGCACAGTCCTCACAGACAGACTGCTGGGAGGCCAGAAATCTAAGCAGCCTCCTTGCTCCCCAGACTGGTTATGACCAGCACTAGCAAAAGGAGGGCTCTGCATGAAACCAGAGTCCTCACATCAAATCAGTCATCAGAGCTGCACAAATCGCTTGTGCATGCCTTGAGAGGCTCAAAACCCATACACATTTCACTGAGGTACCCACTGGAATGAGATGGTTATCGTGCTACTTATATCTGCAGAGTATTTTTCCCTTGAAGCACACAGGGATCCTGGTCTCACATCTCTTCTGCATAGAGGCTACTTCTTTTATTTTTGTGTTGAAAGGAAGGGACGAACACAGGCTGACTAATAACCATCACCATGCCATGCTATGCTATTGCACAAACCCCAGAGGCACAGCAGACACCTAGGCTGGGCTTTTTAACTTTCAGTGTCTATGGGGACATCTATGTCTGTGCCAGTCACCCTAAGTTTCCTTGACAGTAGGCAGAAATAGGCACTCTGAGGGCACAATTTGTCTGAGCTGTCTTAGTTGTCAACTTCAGGATGAACTCAGCTGTCTCTTTGAAGTGCCTGCTTCTCTAGGTTGATTTTAAAGAGAGTTTAGACAATTAGCTCAGCTGTGTCTTCATTCCAGATGTCTATATTGGGTCAGATTAATCTCGCCTGACAACCTAAAAACTTTCCTGTAAGATAACCCTTATGCTGAAACAAAGGAATATATAAAGCTCTTGGTGAATGGGAAAATGGTTATTCCCAAGGATAACCACAGTGACAGTTATTGACATTCAGAGAATACAAAGAGCTGAGGACAATAACTGAGTGATAAAGCATCCTTCTTGTCTTTTCAATGCAGCTTGTTCAGTTTGCCCACTTTCTCTGTCAAATACTATCCGTGATGTCATGTATAATCATGTCAACAGGCAGAAATACACAACTCAGGGAAGCCAGAACTCTCTCTGAGGTTTTAAGGCTCTGGCTCTGAATAGTACTAAACTCCTCTGGGATTGGGACCTCAGAGAGGTGGCATTACTGCAGCCTGGATGGTCCACGCAAACATAAATATATGCTAAGCACCAGCTCATCTTTGACTATTGTGTCAGCACACAAATGTGCATTTCTGTTAACATTGGCTTGAAACAAACCACAGCTATGGGGAGCTTGAACAAGGTGGGAAAGGAAGGGTTAACCACCGCTCTCCTAAAATTAAATAAAAGGGATACAGTCGAACAGATCAAATCACTACATGTAGGTAAAAGCATGTGTACATTTATGAAGAGATAATCTTTCAAGCTCCAAAGGTGGCACATTGGGGTTTGCAATAAAGATCTCGCTGCTGAGAGGGATGTATAATCCATCCATACCTCAGGGGTGGGTAGGGGGATCCCCACTAGCAGGACCTAGGAGTGTACAAGATTTTAAATATTCATTTGACTTCTGAGTTATTGTATATGTTGGTTATTAGTCCACAAAAGTTATAGTTGTCCTCTGTTCTTACACATGTATCTTTTAAATGTGTCAGCACATGCCAAGAACAAAGAATAATGGTTCTGTTCCAACGAAGAAAGTAAATAAATACTGTTTGTGATCAAGGGAAGTAACATTTCCGGCACTGCAGCCAGCACAAGGAATGCGGCGTTAACAAATAAAATGGGAGTCCTGACTATCCTGCAGTATCTTTGATGGTGCAGTCAGCCCGCACTGATGGAGCAGGGAGATATTGCAATGGCCCAGATTCCACAGCGTGTGCTGCTATCTACGGCTGTAGGTGCCAAGCACCGCTGCAGTCACTATTTGTGCTACAAGGGACAGGGATTTACTGGAGGCTACAGAATATTCCATGGATTGTAATGAAACCTGGCATGTCACCAAGGCACATCCAGCAAGCCGTCAGTATTTTACTGCTGAACAGATTTCTTGCAACACCCACCATTTTCCCTTTTCCTGAAAGAAGCTCTCCATGCTTGTGAATCTAAAGAAATGCAATTACATTTGTTTCTTGCTCACAGGTTTGAAGCAACAGACGTATGTTAAATTAACAGTTTTACAAAGGTGCTGTTTTATCAGAGGGATTCAGTAGGCTGGAAATAGGGAATGAAGGGTGCAGGGTTTCTGCCTCTGGAGCATTGTCCTTGGACAAGCCACGGTTGTTGGTGGACTCTACGATTCTATGATTCTGTGACTTACCCACATCTCTGTCTTGCTTTGCAGCCCTACCAGAAACACACACATACACTAACCACAGGGCTGGGGGAAACCTCAGCTGCTTTTCTAAGGTGGAAGACTTGTACCAAAGGGAGATACCTCAGGTAAGAGAGTAAAGCCCCATGGCACAGGTCTTGCTGAGATAAGCTACCATGGGCATGTCCCAAACAGCAGGCAGTCCCTAAGCACTGACACCCAAGGAAGGAAAGCTCAGGGAGAGGAGGTTCATTCCCCAGAGAACAGCCCAGCTGAAAGCCAGGGTGCAGTCTGGAGGCAGACCAAAGTAAGATGGCTGGAGATGACCATTTGGTATATCAATTGGATGTGACCTAGCAGGAAGAAGCTGGGTCATCCCGCTCTGTGCTATGCTGTAGGGCAATTTCAGTCATCATCATGAAGGCTTGAGTTGCTGTGTAACTCAGTTGGAATAAGTAAGCAGATACCATGGCCCAGACCTAAACCATATCCTAGGCAGAAAAACACTGACTTTGACATATACAGCACAATAACTTCACAGTCAGCACCATCATGAAATGTTCTGTGAGCATACACGAATAATAAGTGTAATGAGGCTGCTGATGGATGAAGTACGGACAAGTACAGATGCAATACAACACAAAGAACAATATTGAAACTTAAATAGCAGTAGTTTTCTGAAAATGCTGATAAATCGGAATCTGTATCTTTTTGTCTCACAAAGGCTACATCCACACGAGTTTGACCCCATACCTGAAAATATTCTATTCACACAGAAGGCAGTAGTGATTACACAAACCTTTACTTATTCTGATTTCGAATTCGGAGACACCTCCTTTTCAATGGTGGCTCCAGATCCTCTGGCCCTGTGCTGAGTATTGGCGTTGAGATAATGCACGGCGCGATAGCAGTCTTTTCTGCTGGTTTTGGCACAGGCTGGATCACGCAACCTGTCTTGGGCAGCATCCGCAAAGCATATGCATGGTCCTCATCTGCTGGATTGTTAAGGTTCGGGTCCTGTTTGTCTCCCCCAGCAAGGGGCTCTTCCCCGGTTTTCTTGCCAGCATCTCCCTCAAGGTGGCAGTTTGATGCGCAGTTGTTTTCCTTAACGGACTCCAGCTCGCTCACTGTCAGTTCCTCTGGGGGCTGGGGCTTTTTCAGCTCCTGGGGTGGCTCTGGGTTCTTGGAACCCTCTGTGCTCTTCGTGCCATTCACAATGACGTTGCACACCGCTGCACCAGCTTCCAGTCCTGGTGTGCCAGAGGCCAAGGAGACAGGACAGCAGTGAACTCCATCACTGCACGGTAATGTTTTTGAGTCAATTGGGCTGCAGTTGTCCCTGCAGTCACTGCAGTTCCTTTTGTCTGAGCTACCAAAAGCCAAATTTACAACACTGTTAGGTTCACGTTCAACTTTCACTTGGGCATGTAAAGCCCTGTGGATAACATTGTGCAGCCTAGACCGGTGGCCTACTGTTAGGTCTATGACACCGTCCTGTGGACCCTGTAGCACACTGGAGAAACTGAATTTACTGTTCACTGGACTACTAGGTCTGACAGTCAAGTCAACAACTTCATTTTTACTGTGCTCCTGAAGCATTTGAGCTTGATTTAGGGACTGGCCTGAGCAGCTCGGTGACGAGTCAGAGGACTTAGATGATCCTTGCTTTGACTCTCGAGGGGATGAAGAGCTATTGGTTGGCTTTGCCCCAGGCGTCTCGCTGGAGGTACTCGGAATGAAGCTTTCACCGTTGCTGGAGAAGCCATTGGGGGGTTTGGAGTCGTTGATGTGAGGGATGGGGATGGGAATGGGGATGGGGACGGGCAAGGGGACAATGACAGGATATGGCACTAGTAGAGTTGGGGGTGGCACCAGTGGGGCAAGGGATGGCAATCCAAAGTTCATCATCTGTGGCATAGGCATAGGACCATTTGGCATCATGCTGACAGGGGGAAAGGGAAGACTGGGCAAAGGAGCTCCGGGAGGGGGAGGCGGCAACAAGCCGGGAGGATTCCCAGGCATGGTAGGTGTCGTGGGGGGATGGATATGAGGGGAAAGCATTGGCCTGTGCATGGGGCTAGAGGTGGGACCCATATTTCTGGGACCACCTGGTGGAGGACCGATTCCAGGAATCATTGGATTTGACAGAGGGCTGTTAGGATTTGAGGCATGGTGAGGCGGCCCACGAATAAATGGTGGACGGATTTGCTGCATAATTTGCTGTTCCATGAATATGGGCAGAGGAACTGGCCCACGGTTTGTCATCACCATGGGAGGACTGCGAGGTGGGACACCAATTGGAGGCACAAGGCTAGCAGGTGGCTGGACAGAAACTGGTGGAATATTTGGATTCTCATTGATGGGAATAGGTTTGGGAACTGGCGTGGGGATTTTAGTGACAGAGCAGTTGGCAGTGTCAGACGGAGAGGCAGTGGTAGATGCTGATGGTCCAGGACCTTGAATTTGGCCAGCTGCAGACGCTGGGGATGGGGCTTTTCTCCGAGCATCTGCTAGCGGTATATTCCAAGAATCTGGAGTCAGCAGCTGCACCCCAGTGCCTTCTGCTTTATTTTCAACTGGAGGATGTAATGTACTGCACAGTCCAGCTGGAAGATTGGCCTGTGTCTCTTTGTAGAAAATGTCCATTTTGTACTGATTGAGACATTTTGCACTGCAGAACTGAAGCCTTCTTTCCCCGTCCCCAAAATCCAGATACTCTTTTGTGTGTCTTATGTGCTTACACCAGTCACATACCTACAACACAGTAACAAAATCAAATCAGGTAAGAAAAGCAATCTTTTCTTCATAATGTTATCTTAAAAGTAATTTTTCAGTTGCTTTCTAAATACATTATTTTTCTGTCAGAAAAAAAGTTACATTTGTGAAAACTATGCTTTTTTTTTTTTTTTCTCAAAAATATTGGTAAATTGAATGCCACTCCCTTTTCTGGCTCCCATTATCTCCATTTTACCTTATACAATACACTATGTATCTTAAACCCATACCACAGAGAAGAATCCTCAGCTGGCATAAACTGTCGTAACATACATATGTAAGTATACAAAATCCGTATGAGTATGGCTGTGATTACTCCTCAGTGGTAAGCTAATCACATCTGTGTCATCTGAGATGCCATACTACACAAGGAGGATGATAAAAGGACTCAGAAAGTTGCTGGAAATGAATGCAAACCATTTCTGCTAAACTGCAGCACAGTGTAACATTTAGTATTCTATTAAGGGCACCAAATAGTAAGTTGGAAAGGGTGTGGTATTTTAAAATGACATCAGGAAGCAAAAAGCATCATTCATCCTTTGCCCTTCATTCCAGGGAGAAACTTGGAAACAGTCAAGACAGTCGTGTAAGGTTTGAATAGTCCCAATTCGTGATGTTTCAGCAGGCTGGAATTATTTTCTGAGCAGTTTGCCCACTCTTGTGTACGAGTCACTTTGACTAAAACTTCTTGGCAAGCAAGGGCCTATTTAGCAACTTTTCAAATACTACGGCAAAAAGTTTGCACTGCAGGCTCATTTTTGGTTTGTTCCTCTGCTTTCCATTTAATCCCTTTCTTGTTACTATTAGTGTGGTGAAGGCACAGCCAATTTTTTTTAAAGTAAGGCTGCAGAACTAATTAAGCTGTGAAAGGTTTTCCCAGTTGTAAACCACTAGACACCAAAGTTCAAAAAATAGTCATTCTAGGCTTCAGAATCCATTACTTCAGAGAAATTATTGTGATTTCATTAACACATTAATTTTGCAACACCAACAGCTCTCACAGATGGTGAAGACATGATCTACAATTCAAATATGACTCTTGTTTGCACAAATGCCTTTCCTTCATATGGCATTTTAAACAAGAATTAATATGAGTAATCTTGCCATAGCTATAAACAGATAAACAGATGTCAGATTTTTCAGTGCCTTACTTTTTTGACAGAATTTTACACACACAAAAAACCCATTTTTGTCATTTACATGAGTTCTCAAAATACTCCGCCGACAAAGATTTTTGGTGCTTTCTATCAGCATGTTGAGCCTATGACCATGTCAGAATACATCCTGGTATTGTTTGTTCTGCCTTTTCCAAATAGCCCATAGTAGCTTTGTTTTGAAATGACTATATCTTTTGTAGAAAAAAAAAAAATAATATGATTGTGAAAAGACTGCATTAAAAGGATAATTAATTTTAATAACTATTGGCCATATAAACAATTCAAAACAACATATGTCGGGCATCTGATTACCCATCTCATTTAACTCTCAGCTTTCCTTTAATATAAACAGTGGTGACATTTTTGAGTTTTCAGTAATATATCTTTAATATATATATACACACACACACATACACACACTATATGCTATGGCTATTAGCCCATTTATTTTAACTCTGCAACCTTTTGGTTATCCAGTCAGGTTGCTATTTGATTCCCTCTCCTGCCTCCCCACCCCGTTCACACTCCCTCTCACTCTACCATGAATTTTTTATCCCAACATTTAAATCAAACTAAATAATTACTTGAGAAGTAGCAGCTATTAAGTCACCCCTGAAGTTTGTGAATGCAGGGCAGGATTTTTAGCTTGGGCCTACAGACGCAGTGCCACGTGAGATAAAGCAGAGGGGGTGCTGGTGCTGCTCGATGCATGTGGCATTACGATGGGTGTGTGTCCAGCATGATGCCCCATGCAAGGAAGAAAATTTCCCAGTGTGTTACAGACAAGTCCAGCCCTGCATTGAAAACACACTGCACTAAAAAACACAGACAAAAATGCTGTCAAACACACAGAAGGGTCGAGATAGATTCCTCCGCTGCCACGGTGCATGCATCCCCATCAGGCATGGGCGGATGGGAAGCAGGAGTGCAGCAAGCAGGGCAAAGCGGGGGCACCCCCACTTCCAAGGGCTCTTGGGTTTTACAAGGCATCGGCTCTATCTCTACTCCCCACAGGAAGGCTCGGGGGCCATCGCAGATAGCCACCGGAGCTGGGCAACCCCTCGCCGTAAATAGTGCAAACACATTAGCAGTGGGCACTGAACCATCCCGGGTATTTGGCAGGGGTATGGGTTTTGCCACCCACCTGGCAAGTCAGCACAGGAACATCTGATGGAAACATAATTTACCTCCTGAAATTTTCTGGCTTGCCACTGTTTTCCAAGCAGACAAAAGGGGAATTTGTGAGTCTAGACCGCAAGTTAATAAGGTACTATTTAACTCAGGAAAGCTGCTGAATTTAACTTAAAGTCATTTTTGATCGAGAGCTCACTGCTGTAGCCACAAAATGCTATTTTGCATGTGTGGAATCACGATGTACACCACTGTGCTCCTTCTGCCACTTGCAGGGGTATGCTCTTTTCCCAGGGGCTGTGCAAAGAGGCAGAGGGTCTCCACATGTACCTCAAGAGCTGCACGAAGAGGTACCAGGAGCTCCCAGTCAGCTCCTGGGGCAGGCTGGGGCAGGATGAAGCCCACTTCAGCCCATCATCCACAAAAACAGTGCTTGCAGGGGAAAGACAAGGAGGAAACTAGCCCCAGAGGCGGCTGCTGTAAGGGATGGGGCTGGACTTCAGATGCAGCTCCTTCCGTAATTTAGTCCTGGGATGGTGCAGTTAAGACTTGCCCTTCCTTTGGCAAAGGAAGGAAATCAACTTGTAAGCCTGCTGCCAAAGAAGCACCTGAGAAATACGAGAGAGTAAACCCAGCTTCCTCATCTTCCGAGGAAGAGCCCCCTCAGTGACTTTAATTGAACAAACCGAAAGAAAAATACAGTCCCCCAAAAAACTTGTAGCGTCTTTTCTAATAATTTAATTTTATTAGTTATCAGTTGAAAAATTCACTGAAATGCTTTACTGTGTTATTGCTGTATTGATTTGTTTATCTCAAGTGGTCCCTATGTCACTCTGAGCTAAACAAATATTTTCCCTTCCTTGGTAAAATATTTAGAAATCCTGCTTAGAAATTCTCTACTGATTTCTCCTATTTTCAATAATTCACTGAGGTACAAGAAACTCTGCAGTCTGCCTGCCTCACTCACATATTGATCACAGACTGTTCTGTATATTTTAACACTAGATAAAATTAATTAAAGCCACAGAAATTAAAGACAGCAACTCTATTCCTCTGAACATCCTGGATGGACCAAATATCTAATAATTATCTCATTGATGCTATGCAACATCTCTAAGTGTTGAAGTTAATGTCAGTGAGAAATGTCTATCTACTACATCCATGTATTTGGTTATTTTCTTTCCTTCTTTCTTTCTTTCTTTCTTTCTTTCTTTCCATCCATTTACATAAGCAATCGGTCTACGCTGCTTCATTAAGATACAAGTATAAGATGTGCATGTCATACGCAGGTAATATGACACCTTACAATACCACACTGAAAGGCAGAAAAACAGTTCCTACAATGAGGAGGAAATTACTGGAGGAGAAAAAATGTCACTTAAGAATTAATGAATCAAGTCTGTCTTACACGATTGATCATTTAAGATGAGGTCAATGAATTTATGATACAAATGGCTATATCACTAGAGGTAATAAAACGGAGCAATATCATTCATTTTACATATAACTAATGACGTGCTCAGAGTAATTACAGACTTCTTCTAAAAGCCCACACTGATTAGTTCAGATGTGATAGGTGAAACATATATATCTTTCTGTTCAGTAAAATAACATTTTCTTATCTGCAAAACACACAGCTTATTTATTTAAGGACTTGCATTTCGTACAGAACATCGTTGCTCTTCTCAGACAGCTCAAAATATCTCTGTTCATTTATTCCTTTTGCTTCCCTTCTCCTGCCTCATCCTTTCCCTTCACCATACAACCAAGAGAGAATTAAACTGTCGCAGAGTGCACTGGACATGGGATTTGGTAGCGCTTACGCACGGGACCAGCTCCCCAAGATTCAGCAGGTTTAGTCACAAGAGTTAATGCTGCAGGATCACGTTTGGAGGGCCTGACCCAGCACCCGTGGAAAACAAGGGAGAGACTCCTCTTTAATGCAGTCAATCGGCTTTGGGTCTGAGGCTTATCACCGGCCTCTGCTTACCCTGGAGCCAGTGGGAGTCTTGCCCTTGACCTCAACAGGAGCAGAGGCACGGCTGGGGATTTTGGAAGGAACCAAGGCAGAAAATCCCATAGCACAAGCTAACAAAAGGAATCCACAGGAAGAAAATAAATGCTGCAAGGCTGAATTTCAGACATTTCCTAACAAACATAAGTGAAGCAACCATTTTGTATGTTTCTACCCAAAAGGAGGTAGGAACAGTAGCGGTGTGACTGATGAGGAGTGTGAACATTTCTGAGATAAATGCTCAGACCTTGCAAGGTGATAACAGATCCCCTACATGCCTTCATCTCCCTTGGAAAATACTCATAATGCCGCTCTTGAGCAAGCACACTTCGCACCACAAATACCAGAACACAAACCCCACAAACGCTGAATGGCAGAAAGATCAGTAATAAGATAACTGCCTATCTCATTCAGCTGTAATGCAGCAACCCTCAAGAAGATTAAATTTACCTAACTGGGGCATGTCCAATGCTAAACAACAGAATGAACATTTCCTTCAGTACATGTAATGTATTTTTATTTTAGTGGCGTGTTGCCAGTGTACTACTTATAAGCTCAATGACTTGATATCATTCATCCGCTTTCTTGTGAAACATGCAGCAATCTACACCAGGAGACGACTCAGAAGACACTGCATCAGCAGAAATACTACTCGCACCCGATATGGGAACACCAAG